TTCACACAGCTAATGACAGATATATCATATTGGTGTATACTTGTAGATATACAAATAGAAAGAACAGTACGGTGCAGAAATGTTTTATAGGGAGCCGTTTTAGGCATTTCAGATATTTTATTGTTAATATTAATAATTTTATTTTAACGGTTATATCCTTTTTTATAGAAAGGTCCCTTTTTAAAAAAAAGCTCTTTAACAATTAAATTATAGGAGCCATTGTTAAAAATGATGAAGATAGTTGTGTTCTGTTAAAAGGAATATAGGGAGTTATAAAAGCATCCTTGAAAATGTGTTGGGTTATAGATTCTATGGACTGTTTCATGCAGATAGAAAAGGCAAAACCAGGGACGGAATACAAACAGCTAACTCCTTTCAAACCATAAGTTCACTTTTATATTTTCAGACTCTTTGTCTGTGAAATCCTTCGTGTGATTCAAAGAACTGACTGATTCTCTATTCATGAGCCTGTTGGTTTATGTCTAAGTCTCTATGTTCTTTGTGTTTAAACTAACTTAACAAATTATTCTCACCTCTCCACCTGACACCCCGATAGAGGCCAAACACCGGCCACCAGGGTCCACTTCATTAATGATAACACACACACAACAACACACAGACACACACCACAACAACACCACACAACAAAACTCTCTTCCATTAAGACTTTGATGTCACAGTGGCTTGATGAAATATTAATGTAAATCACTGCTGTTTTATCCCTGCAGACTTGCAATAACAGTCTGATGCATTATGCATTAGAGAGCAGGCATCTGGTGATTAGGCAGATCGGCAGTCTGTGTTCCTTCTGAGAATCTAAGCTGCGTGGAAATCTGAAGAAGCTCTTGACTTCTGTAAATAACATTCTCAAACAATCAAATACAACAGTGTTTTAAACACACTGAAATGTGTGAAATGTGTCTGAATTCAGACGATCTGGTGAAAGCAAAGCTGTGTGATGAGCCTCTGAGTATCTTAGATAAACAAAAACTAACTCGGGGGATTCAGACATCCCCCCGATCAGAGCCCTCTTCTCAAATCATTCTTACTTCTGGATACCCAAAGATCATGTTCCTTGTATTTTTATGACTAAATTAAATAATTGCTGACGTAACACACACTTGGGACACGAGCAGATATAACATTATTATAACATTAAAAGCTTGAAAGTAAATGACCTAATTTAACAAATATATTTTTTATAAAACTGCCAAACATTTAGTATATTCAGGTAGAAACCCCCCCTAAACATTTGTTAGCCTTTTCAACCAGCCAATCTGACAAATTAATTTCTTAATTTGTAAATTATAATTGAATTCTTGTGACTGCAAGACTGTCACACTTTTAATGCATCACAACAAGTATTCAGAAGTACAGTATATAATCCCATAAGGTCCAATAAAGTCATTTTAATTTAATTGGCAGAACATGCCAGAAAAGCAATTTCACAGATTTGTTTATGAGTGGACGAATACCATTAGTGAGCTGGTTATGAATTGTTTTAGTGGGGGAGACCCTGGATGAGACAGAATGGTAAATTGGTGCATTAGGCCGGTGGGTGACGCTTGTAGCAGAAAATGGAAATCTGAACGCATTCAGAACGGCTGAATCAACCAATTACACACACAGAAACACTTCTATTTTTCTAGGTATGTATCACACACATACTGTACACACACACACACACACACACACACACACACACCCAACTGTCCTTCAGTGTCCAGTTTCTTTTTGCTCAAATTGCTTCAGTCACTGTCACAGCCATTACTGGTGTTTTGTGTCAAATAGACACAGGTTTCACTGAAACACTGTGTCACATTGAACGTATAACGGACCGGTCCCCCCCAGTGAGACTCCATAATGAAAGTCAGATGAAAACTGCAGGTGCACAATCTAATACATTTCACTCCCAGCAGTGAAATACAATGAGAAATATGTCTGCTTTAGTTCATACATTTGCTTACAGACAGATTTCTACTCAAAGGAAATGCTTTCTTCTTTCATAAGGCACAAGCACAATCTTATTTCCTCTTCTGAACACACACCAGCAAAGCTTCTTCCAGAGATAAAACTATATCTTAATAACTTTATGCTCACCTGAGATGCTTTCTTTGAAGCAGGCCTTGTTCATATTCACATGTCACAGACTGAATATCCCAAGATAAAGCTCCCATTATCTGTTCAGCATCTGTTGTGGGTCTGCTCCCCAACACAGACACAATGACAGCATGATACCATCAGTTGTTGAGGTACAATGACGAGGCTGTCACGACTGTGATTCCGCGGCTCCGCGCTAACATCCTCCGTCTGTCACCCTGCTTCCCGGTTTAAAACCTCTGGGGCAAGTTAACGCCCAATAACACGTTCACAGTCAGGACGGAAATCAGAAAAGGTCAGTGGAGCTTAGGTTTGGTGTTTGCTTTCATACAGAAAGATGTGTGTTGATGGTGTGACACTGATGTGACTGATGCGGCTAAATTTGCTCTCAATGTGCCGGCGCTCTCTGGGGCCTTAGGTCACATGATCTCTGTCCAGACAGTCCAAATCAGTAAGATGTCAATCTTCATTTAACAACAAATCCATCAATTCATACACCCCTGGATACTTGTGTCCCTCTTTCATCCCCACAAAAGCAGATCATTACACCCCACCAACTTCATCTCGCTCCAGTGCACTATTCACACCTGTCAGACGGCTGCTTCAATTACTTCATTTCTGCCAGTCTTTTCTGTCAGAGATTCTCCATGACTGTCTTTTTCTGTCCCCGTTTCATTATCTGGTCAATATGTGGCTGGGTCCCAAATCCGAGACGGATCTCTGATCCTATCTATCTTCTCACCCCTAATGCATTGTGACATGCTGCTCCCTATTACCTTCCTCTGCGAGGCAATGCCATTCTGGCAGGACCACCTGCCTGCTTAAGTGCTTGTCCATCACTTCAGCCACAGGGACTCAATGAAGGGCAAATAGAAAGCAGGCTGTCTCTTCAGTTCATTTTTCTTGCACTAAAATAACCACACCCACCCCTACTTCCATCGTCACCTTATTCCTGAGTCATTTACTGACCTCACTACCATCAATAATGAGCACTGGAGTGTGTGCACATGCTCTGACCTGTTTCCCCCCCTTCTGCACTCTCATCAACCATGAAGATCAATACACTTAAGGAGTAAAAAGACTAAAATAGTCCTGGTTAAATTATTCTGAGAGAGCACATTTTGCACAATGCTCAGTGACCTAATGTATAAAATATTTTCTGCAGCAGCCCTGTGATGATCTGAGCTGTCTGGCCTTCTTCTTTATAGACTTGCACTTCCATATACAATATAAACACACACTCAAGGAATAAAAGAAGATAATGTTAAGGAAAATCCCTCTTAGGTAATGTCATGAAACCAGCTGTCTCACCATGTGTTGGAGCACTCCTGCACACTGACAACCAGAGTGATTGATGTCTATTTTCTTTTCACTCAGCGGTGCAGAGAAGCCAAACAATAAAACTAAATTGACATGATGGAAAGTTCAGTGGCCAGGTTAAGCTGAGCCACAATGGGGGGGTTCTGAAAAACCACAACGAGTGTTTGCAGAAAACCAACAGATCAAAGAAACAAGAGGCTGCAGGAAACAGCCTGTCACAACATTATGACAACAATTCCTGTTTTTCAGAGACGGAAAGCTACTGCTGATACCACACTGCAGGCACAACTATCTACTTGCTGGATGCAGGGCTTTGCCAACTGGTTTTAATTTCATAACATGAATGCACATGGCCAGGTGCTGCGCTGCCGTAGTGCCAGTTCAGCTGCTGCAGATTGTGCCTCCAGGAAAGCCATTTCTCCCAAGACCAATGAGTCACACTTATTAAACAACCTAACTTCACTAATGGAAGTCCGGACCTAATCATAATCAAGTGGCATGCAGGATTTAATTTGATGCCAAGAAGTGAAGGAGGTAGTGATTTAGAGACAGACAGGGAGAAAGGCAGAGGGGGGGAGATGGAGATAGAGTTGAATGTGTGTGACAGTGAGTAACCTTGATAATAAAACAAGAGACATGCTGGTAGCTTTGTGAGGCTGTATAGCAATGCTTTGAGATAAATGCTAGTATGCTAATATGCTCACAATGACAATGCTAGCATGCTGATGTTTATCATGCATATATTGTTTACCATGTTTCACCATCTTAGGTTAGCGTATTAGCATGCAAACATCTACTAATCATCCCTAACAAAGTACAGCTGAGGATGACGAAAATCTGTTTGGCAGCGTATTTACAAATTCAAATTTTGGCATGATGAAGACACAAGAGGAAAAGCAAGATGATTACAATTCATCCCCTGAGGACAATGACTCATATTTCATGGCAATCACTCAAATAGTTGTAAAAACATTTTACTCAAAGTTAGACCAAAAGTCAGAGACTCACCAAAGCCATTAAGATTCACCCTCTCAGAGCCATTAATGTCTTTACAAAATCCATACAATAGTTGTTGAGATATTTCAACCGACCGACACTGTCATCCATAGAGCCACGCTGCTAGCATGGCTAAAGAGTAAAAGTTAATATGAATGTTTGATGGTGAATTTTAACATACATGAAATGAAAAATGAAAAATGTCATGCTTGAAATTGCAGCATTTAGAAAATTGCTGTCTGCCCCAGGCATGACAGA